ACTAGTCATGCTGAAGTCGTTGGATCAGGTCTGCAGGTCCTGCTGGGTGCACTTACCACGGCACTGTCGGCGGCGACGTCCGGTAAACAGGTCAGATTCCGGTTCTTCCGTGACTTACTCGACCTCAATGTCTTCCTCCTGCTAGACCTCCATCGCTATATCAGTCCTCGGTGGGAACACAATCTATACGCATCCCTCCGATTCGCGCTTACACTTCTTGTAGGAGGTATCTCAACCATGGTAGCTTCATACCTCGCCCGAGCCCGCGGTTCTAATGAGCCCCAACTATCCTTGACGCGCGTGAAAGACCTCGAACAGTTTATACGAGAGTGCAAAGCATTCGAAATGGACCACGGGCACGATACGGGACACGAACTTGATTCGCGCTTGGAGTATTTCAGGCGACGATACGAGGAACTCCTGGGGAATACGAATATGTGAGTTCATCGTGATTTCTAATGAAGGAAATAGGCTGAACGCTCCGCGCTGCACAGGGAGCAAAAGCATAGCACGCCCCAAAACACTGGACAAAACCCCAAGATTTCCGTGATGCCGGGGATTGTATGAACACCAGCGGCGAATTACGGTATACTTACACGGTGTCTTTCTGTGAACAAATATCATGGAGACGCGTGAAACCCGCGTATATCTGTATATATACCACACTAATTTACACTAGCTTTTACGTCTGTCTTCTTGTGGAGTTGATATACTCATAACAGCCTCTTTCACCACTTAACGTCGCAAGCGATAATGTAGCACCCAGAACAACGGATCGTGATTCATTGGATGTAGCCAAGGCCAATCACAAGGGCTCTGCTCATTGTGATTTTGCACTCACTCTCGCTGCATCAGCACAGAACGTTCAAACTTGATTAGACGAAGAATTCCAGGCAGAAGCCAATGCTCTCTTCAATCCCTTCAACAATGTCGACCATGTCACTATCTCACTGTCTGCAGTCGCTGTTCATTTCACATCGTGGACATCGAATAATGAAAGTCGCATGCGATGTGTCTACCGGCTCTTCTTCAACCGTTCCTAGTTCCCCAAGTCAACATGCCTGCCAACCACAGAAGATCAAAAGGCAATATGGCCATACGATCGAAGCTTTCTCTGTTGGTGCAACCCCTTATCTGGCGACAGGAGAAGGCGAAACGACTTCCCCGTGGTCGTAAATGGAGGAAACGCTGTCCGACGTCCGATACTTGAAGATATTCGACTTCGCTTGCACTGGATAAACTGTGAATGGACAGGACCCTTGGGCGACCTCAAGAATAGGCGCCCGGTCCACAGCCTCGTTCAAACCCTGCTTAGTCTGTATCTCGATTTTGTGTCACCCGGTCTGTCGCTTGCTATGCCTGCCAGCCAATGTCGTTTCTGCGGCTCGTCGGAGGGTTGGCATACCGATCGCGATATGATGCGAGTACCTTGGGGGCATTTTACACAATACTGATGTGTTATACGTGACACACGTTCAGAAAGAGAGGTTCGAAACTAACCCTGAGTGGTCGCAAGTGAAAGACGCTTACCGGGTCGATCATGCGATTCAGAGGAGCGTAGCCGTACCTTGATCTCGGAAGGCATTGAGAGTGAAGTACAGAATTGTAGAATATAGTTTACATAGCAAATATAATTCTTATTGAACTAGTACATCGAGAGATACTAGAAACTAGAGATGGGGGAAGGGGATTCCGTTCAAATAAACGGAATGCCTGTGGTGAGGCGAAATAGAACTACTGACAACCCGTCTTACATTCTATTTCGTCTCAGTTACCATTATCTCTTGGATTTACTGAGTTTAATTTCGAATTGATATTTCGGTGTGGGTGGGTGGGCAAAATGAATTGAACGAAGGACTTGAACGGCTAGGCGAGCTGTGAGGAAACTCGGTGAGAACGACTTGCTCGACGGTGCTAGCAGTTCCAACTAAGGAGGGACCGAGATCATGTGGTGTCGTCGACGCATCTGAATCCGCGCGGACTTTATTCCGATCCAACCCAACCTTCAGTTCGCTTCCAGTTCTGCCAAGGGCCAAAGAAGGTAAGGTCGTCGTGCATCTATTGCCAAGGATGAATGGTAAGCCATCTATGAATTTGCTGTGTAGACAGGTTCACTAAATTTTAAACAATAGAAATCGATCCTGAAGTTGATTTTGATTCGCACCGGGCTGTTTACTTCCGACAGATGCGCTACGGCCTTTTCGTCGGTATCTTTTCGCTTGGTGGATGATGAAATTGTTGACTCTCCTCGTATAGCATTCCTCATGAGCGTCCTTCTGTAGACGACAGACTTCTGAAAGTAATTAATAACATCTAGACAGCTAGAATAGCTCGTAACGCATAGAGCACAGATTAGTAGAGGCGCAGGCATTTACGATCTCCGGATGGGGGTGACAATCAAGAACTACATCTATATATGTACAACTATATAAGTACGAGAAGCTTACCAATACGGGACGTAACCATTCTGCCAGTCAACACTCAAATCATTTGATGCGCTTCCCAGTTCCTTGAATGATTTTCTATTTGCACCACCCTAGTTCACACTGAGCGCTGTAATGCAATCAGGATAGGTTTCAAAACTTAAGGTTCGTCGGGAGAGTGAGTCACTGAGGGTTTTTACGTGCTTCTTGATACGGTTGAAACCAGCTCCATCTGCAAACATGCGGACGCCATGAACCTTCGTCTCCGAATTATGGATACAAGTATGTTGCCGTACGCGTGTAGTTGATGAATTCTTAGAATACTCTAAATACCCTTTCATTGGTCACTTTGACTATGGATCACTCCCAGGCTCTCAATCCTCAGGACCGACCTGGTACGAACTCTCAGTCTCAGGCCCAAGGCAGCTCCTCCCCAGTTGGTCTCGGACCTACCATTGTAGCCCCAGTACCAATAATTGGTCCAGAGAGGAACTCGGCGTACACTTCTATCAGACACAGCTCACCGCTGTCCGATCAAGGTGACGCGCCCAGGTCGGACACATCGTACGCGCCCCTGCGCAGCGCTCAGAGCCTCTCGAACAACCCCTTGCCCCCTGTACCAGGTCAAGACCCACACTCACCCGGGCGGAAGCCCTCGCGTCGATCCGACATTGACTGGATCATCCCCGTCGATGCTAGGTCGGAGAAAGTGCGTCTGACCTCATGGAAAACTGCGTGCGGCTAAACACACACTTTACAGGCTTCACGTCCTAAAACAGTGGGCGAGCGCTTGCAGCCCACGCTGAGCACTGCCGAAGCGGCGAGGGAGAAATATATTTCGAAGGCGAAGATGACAGGCTGGGCGCTTAATATCGCGATAGGCGAGTGGTTTTCCAGACAGACGTAACTAGACATGCTGAAGTCGTTGGATCAGGTCTGCAGGTCCTGCTGGGTGCACTTACGACGGGCCTATCGGCTGCGACGTCCGGTAAACAGGTCAGACTCCATGTCTTTGACATAACTTCCTCGAGCTCAATGCCTTAATACTACTAGACTTCGATCGCTATATCAATACTCGGTGGGGACACGATCCATGCTCATCTCTCCGAGTTGCACTGACACTTCTTGTAGGAGGCATCTCAACCATGGTAGCTTCATACCTCGCCCGAGCTCGTGGTTCCAACGAGCCCCAACTATCCATAACGCGCGTAAAAGACCTCGAACAGTTCATCCGAAAGTGCCAGGCATTCCAAATGGACCACGGTCACGATACTGGACATGACTTTGATCCGCAGCTGGAGACTTTCAGGCGACAATACGAGGAGCTTCTTGGGAATGCAAATGGGTAAGCTCAGCATGATCATTACTAGTAGGAACTGAGCTGAATATTTTGCTGCGCAGGGAGCGAAAACTATCACCGCCTGTATAGATGATATCCATAACTTATTCGGACTGTACTATTATAATGTAATACCATCACTAATGCTCGACAAGGATCTGATCTGCATGCTATATCAAGAGAACATTCATCTTGTCCTTGTCCTTGTTCGATGACCTCTTATTCATAGTAAGGTGCCTTTTTTCATCCACGCGTTGCGTTGATTCGCTGATTATTTTGAAAGTCCTTAGGAACACGCCACAAGATGCATACTCCGACCTCAAGTAAATCTGTGGAACCGACGCCACTGTGCTTCAGTACTATTCTTCTTGTCATACCGAGTTTTGGATCATCTTAATCGCTGAACTATTATCCAAAGTCTGTCGCCGTCTGAATTGTACCCGTCCTAACTCAATATCTGGATGATTACCCTCCTCCTCCTCCAAATGCTCCTGTTCAACCTTGTTGATCACAGTAGCGTCGAGATCTGTGTCGACCGTCCCTCAACGCGAACTTTGACTGTCCCGCTCCCGACTCGGATTCCGAAATTAATCACGGCAGGTCAGGGTGGCGCATCACTCCCATACAATGCAGAGCTTCAGAAAACCTTAGGCTGGAATAAGACGCCAGTAGCATAGCCTCTTGCCATTGCATTCACTCTTACAATTGGAGTGCAGAGAGTGAACCCAGCAAATAGCACTTAGCGTTCATGGACTCGTTGGGACGACTGCTTTGAAATTGCAATTCTTACAGTGCGGATTTTGTCTCCCCCAGTCATAGTCATTGTTTAGAGCAGAAAATAAAACGTATAAACGCGCAAAGAGAATGTAAGAACCTATAAAAGGACCTGATATGCACCGCGTACCTAACGGTAACACCCCCGAAACAGTTACTTGAGTAGAAAAATAAAACACTTACTTACACCCAGAGGGTTTGTGGAGGGAAACACACGAAATCTATAGGCTTTGTTACGCCCGGTTTAATTACCGATAAGTTACGGTCCTTCCTTCGAAACAATTTCCACGAGTATATAATGAAGCTGGACTTGTCAGACTTGCCAGGCCAAACGAACTGTAAATTACCGTATCAAAATATTTGCCTTGGGTAGGAGTAAGGAAAAAATACGTACTAACTAGTAACTACTAACCGCATTTGAAGTTTTCATGCGCTACCTGCAAAATGTTAAAATATTATCAGATGGGCCTGACTGGGAATTGAACCCAGGACCTCCTCGATAGTTAGATAATCACCCTAACAAGGAATCATACTACTAGACCATCAGGCCACAGCGTTCGATAGCTTTCATATATTACCTCTACAGTGGTGCTTCGACGGCAATTACCGTTGGACGTGATCCTGTTTACTCATCACAGCTCTCTTTTGACCTGAACACTGTTGTCCGTGATGAAGAACAAGAACCGACAAACGAAATTTCCCGTCGTGAGTTAGCACCTTGTATGATAATACCCTGATGATCAGCTCGAATAGGCTCGGATAAAGAAGATAATGCAGAAAGACGAAGAAGTGGGCAAGGTAGCGCAGGCCACACCCATCGTCATATGTACGTCTCCCAGGCTCAAAACACCGGATACCTTCTGATGCATCCACACCAGCGAAGGCCTTGGAGATGTTCCTAGGGCTCATCATTGAAGAAGCGCACAAAGTCACGTCGGAACGAGGGTCGAAGAAGGTGGAGGCATATCATCTGTGCGTGGCATATTCTGTCTGCTGTGTCCATCCATATTGACGCTGAAATAGGAAACACGCCGTGGAGACGACAGAGATGCTGGACTTTTTGAAGGAGATTGTCGAAGGCGTACCAGACCCTTCGGCAGGTGGGACGATTGATATGGACGTGGAGCCGGCTGAAGGTGGGAAGAGGAAGAGGGGGAAAGCGAAGAAGGAGGGCGCAGCAGCGAAGGACGGGAATGCTGAAGGTGCCCCGACAAAGAGAAGGAGGAAGAAGAAGGGCGAGGAGGAGCTGGCCGTAGTGAAGGAGCAGGAGGAGGTGAAGGACGTGGTGATGGAGCCAGAACCGGAGCCGGAACCCGAACAGGAAGAGCAGGACGAAGGGGAGGACCAGACGATCAATGGTCATGGGAACGACGACGACTGGGATGGAGACGACAAGCCCTTCATGCCTAGACGGTAGTATTAAATTTGAATAATGTTAGTGCTCAGATATTCTACTTTCAGACGAGATCGACATTCGCGGCCCGTATTCCCGGATCACTTGTCTTTCACCTTGACTACGTTTCCCCCAGAGCTTGTAGAGATAATCGTACACGATATATGGAACTCTGAAATGTCCTCATTCACCCGAAAATCGCTCATGACTACTTGCCCCCGGATCAATCGAACGTAGAAAGCTGTTTATTCCTCCTTCGCATCTCAGGATATGTACATCCAACCTCGCGTTTCTAGACTATCTATGCGACATATCCCATGCCTAAAATTCTATCATCTATGATGACTTTATCCCCGGGGTTAGTGATGATTCGACGATTGGACATACAGCAGCGAGGAGCGGAGCAAGAGTAAGACAGCAGTGCAGAACTAACAAGCAGGATCAATGTGTCAGAAGTTCTATCTAACAAAGTGAAGAGTCACACGTATATATGTGAAGCAAGGGCAGGACAGATGTATAATTTATGTATGCCGCTTTACAGCAATACCGATCAAACTGAAGATAGACCAGGGAGAAAAGGACGAAAGAAGTTTAGAAGTTATAATCACCCGTTAAGACGTTCGAAAAAAACTCCACCAAAGTCGGGGTGAAGCTAAAGTCGACAGCCTCAAAGGATGTGGGAGAGCCGTCGATGTTGTTGGAGAAGGATGCTCCTGGGGAATGCTGTCCAGGGTCGAACCGTTGTCAAATAATGTCAAGAAAGCGGTTGTACCATCTCCTCTGATGTCCAAAAATAATGGTAAGCCCGAAGGTATAGTTGATTCGCCATTGACCAGAGGATCACGAAGTCGACCCAGGACAGGATTGTCCCATTTCCTTACTGAAGGTAGGATATCACCTATCACATGAAGGGCCTGCATCAGATCGTGGAGAGTTGATCGATCCTGAGGTTCATAAGCCCAACATTTGGTCATGACTTCCCACCATAACTCAGCATGTCCAGTCGACCTCAAGTGCTTCGGATACGGAAGACGCTTCTTTTCGACGGTGACCTTCATGGCAATGGCTGCATCCTTGAGGCCGCTCCAGGGTATCGTCCCGGCAAACACCTTCAAGTTATAAACGGTTAGAGTTCATTAGGACCGGCTCGCCTGAGAACCCATACCTCAAAATACATACATCCAAGTGAATATACGCCCATCCAACACTGATGCCAACGCGTAAACCCCGGGGCCATATCCAGTTTTCAGGGTTCTAGATACTAACGTCGCACTCACAGCACAAACAAACAACCTTGTCCGGGCCCCTTGGTTCACGGTTCAGGAAACGCAAGACAGTTGTCACCACATTGACAGTGGGGCCGGAAACAGGGACTGCGAAGGTTTTGTGCAAGCTGAATTTGGGACCTTCGAGGAATTGGGCGAGCAACGAAAGAGACATTCGGCGAGTACACCTTGGGATGATAGTAGTATGAGTCAAAAATCAACCGAGAAGTCAACAATATGGGCACTGACCAACTATCGATTGCGTTTCAGCTGGGCCTCAGCCTACATCTTCTACGTTGCCGTCGGCTTCGCTTCACTGGTTATACATCGACAAGCAAATTTCTTGTTTGGCGTCGTCCTGGAAGAAGGGCATAACAGAGACTGCTCTGAGCTCTGATTCATCAGCTCAACGTGGCAAAAAAACGGAGACATGAACGTACGGTTGACCGTCTGAATCTTCATGCCTTGGACCACCTGAACCCCTGCCATATCTTCCACCTGACAACGACGTCTTGGCAATTTGCTCCTTTCCACAAGCACCTAGTAGGCTATCCTTGCCCACAACCAATTCTGTTGTCCTGGCCGGTTTCGAGGGGGTCCCGATAAACAAATTTACATTCGAGTAATTTTCTCCAACGTTCCGGAAATCCTTCGCAGAACAACCAGCTTCGAGGGTAAGAAAGCTGTGACACTGGCGACATATAGGCCAGTGTCATAGAGGGATGGCAAGGTCAAAATCGATGGAATCGACGGCTGATTACATGTCGATAGCTTGGACAGACAAGGCAAAAAATTGTGATGTACCGTTCCTTTCGATCTCGGCGAGTTATTATACGTGCAAAAGCGAGATTGAAAATGACCAAACGTTGCTTTAATAGAGATCTCTATGAGAAATAATGCAGACTGTATCAAAAATTCCCACCTTGATGCCTTGTAACCGCGGTACTGGGCTGGTCCATCTCATCCTGGCATCGTTAACGAAGCCAGGTCCAGTACCAAGTGGAAATACGAATTCTCGGACCCATTCAAGCAGCATTTGTCAGTTATGATGTGAATGCAGGGATCCTCTGAAATAGTGATGATAAATATACGTCGCTGCGATAGCTCAATGGTGACATCGAACATAGGTCATTTTTCGAGGCAAATCTGTGATGGCAATGAAAGATGAGGGCGTAGACTGGTAGGAAATGACGCGCAGGGTGATAAGGAGAGATAGCTGTTGGTCGCTTGGGTGTGTTATAACGTGTCGCACAATTGTAGTCTTATCACGGCGCAAACATTGAAGTCTCGCGGAGGAGTGTAGCCCTCCTGTGCCAATTAACCGTCGGGATTCTGTGACAGACCAATCGGCTCCTCATTATACAGAGAAAAAGAAGGACGCACAAATTCTCAACGAGAGAGAGATGATAGCTCTTTCAACGCTAGCCCAAATTCAAGAGTCTTCCACCCGTCCTGGCACAAACCGTTCATTCGGAGCGTTCAAGGACATGTTTCTCGCTCATGTACATCTATACACGTGCGCGTTAGTGAGAACATTTTCGAAAGTGGGTGATTAGATCGCTGGTAGCGCCGATAAGGACGTATACAATTTGAAATGGTGGCGTTCGTAAACGGTGACTATGAATATCGGGCTTGTTTAAGATATCTCTCACGAAGCTAACAGCACCGAAGTGTATCCGGGTACACCATAATTGGGAATTGGGGATGCGCCAAGTGCAGGTTTCAGAGTCCGAGTCTGGCTTACGTGATATCATCATGCCGAAATATGCCGAAGGTCTACTTACAAACTTACATAGTACTCCTCTCCAGTTTAAAAAACACCCCGCCAGTTTCCGTCGTACCTTGAAGAAGCGAGGGCCTTCGCATACCCTCTGGATGTTCAGCTTATTTTCGACCCGTCGAGTTGACAAGGAGAATCATTTCCATCGAAGGGCCTTTGGGCTTGTCTAAAAGTACTTCTGCCTGCAATATAATAGAGTGCTTAGCTATGCAGGTCACTGTCTCCCTCGCGTTGCAGAGAAAACTTTTGCAGGGGCCCTTTTTCACCTCAGTCGAACATCTTATGTAAAGAATATTCTATGAAGCACTGAGACTCGCAGACTGAGATTGACAGGAAGGAATCATCGACCCCAGCTCCATGTGCCATGACGTTTTGGCGCCTCCATTCGAACCTTCCATTTTTCTCTTCTTCCAGGCCCCCCCGTCAGGCATGTGCAACTCCCGCCCACTTTTGAATCTAAAAAAAGTGCGTCCTTTTGGTACTTAAATGCTCAATTCCTCTCACCTATCTGATTCATGGCCAGTGCCCGGTGCCATATACCCAATTCTCTTTCACGACAATCACCTCTGCCGGCAACTCCGAAGATCTTCCTACCTCCCTAATTTCTCACTTTAACACCTTCAAAAACAGTCTCTACTTCTGCTCTCGCTCTTGCCGTCGTCGCTTTGCATAACGCCTCGGTTTTCGCTTCCTCCATTGCCCAAATATGCTCGTAGTAACACCGACTTTTCGTCAGGCCTAGCCATAATGCCGTCGTTGGACTTGGAATGATTCCCGACGCCACTGTTGAGTCTCGGAAAATGTGGGTACCCTTTGTGGTGCCAATCTACCATCGTAACTAAACTTTTATCGTAGGCCTAGTCTCAGCGATTCTGCCGTAGCCTTCGGTATGGTCCTAAAATTTACTGTTGGCTCGCAACAAGTGTGCGTACATGTTTTCTTTTGTTAATTGACCTTGCCCATAACCTTTTCCGACAGTTCGAGTATCAGTAACGACGCTGTCAGCCTTGGTATGATCCCCGACTCTACGGATGAGTCTAATGTTTACTTGCGACAAATGTGTGTACATGTTTTTCGATGATTAACCCTGCTCTAACTTTTTCGACAGTTCA